TCATAATCAAAACATTCTGTTGAAATTAGTTTTAAAATTGTTATATACTAAAGATGTCCTTTAGTTCAATCCAGAAATTGTCTTTAATTAAATGCTATCAATAGTTTCTAATGACATTTTCAGTGGTGATATTTAATTTTGATGAGTCATAAAATCTGGATGAGATTTATTTCTGTGCTCATCTGTTATTAAATTGTCAAAGAAAAGTTAAAAGATTTATCTCTTAAAGGTACAGTGTGTAGAATATAGTGATATCTAGTGTTGAAGTTGCATGTTGCAGCTGAACAACCCTCACCTCACCCTCTCCTTCCAAACATGAAAAAGAGCCTGTGGTAGCTTCAGTTGTCATAAAAACTGAAAAGGTGTTTAGTTTGTTCAGTCTGGACTGAAGTAAAAAACATGGCAGCCTCTGTAGAGAAGGTCCCCTCCATGTAAAAGTATTTTCTAGGGTAAAGAAAACTACAATTCATACAATTTAGATGAAACAAACTAGTGAAAACATCATGAGGATTATTCTACATTAAATTTTTGCCAATAGATCCTTTCAACTAAATCTTAACCACTGAACCTTTAAGCTTTAGATTTGACGAATGTTCTGCTGAACTACTTTTCCAACAGGTTTTAAATGCAGCATGTTTTATTATATACAGTATGTGGATTTTTTGTTGTTGTTCTTGTCAGCAGCGACATTTAGTAATGACGACGGACATTAAAACTGCAAACAGGACTCTATATTGTCAATGTTTCAAACCCATCACCAGGGCAACACATCACATCCACTGTATATAATGATGGACGACATGACACCCCCCGAAACTGAGGCCAAAATATCTTGATTGCCCCCTGGTGGTGAGCTGCAAAGGCCATAGGTCATGTTAGTTCAAAGGACATGGACCAAACTAAAAATTCGAATACCACGTCAAATAAAGTCTATTATCTTATTTCCAGTGTTTGCTTCTACTTATTTATTTGGGAATGGGGTGCAGCACCGTGATTGACAGCTGAGACTAACTCATTATTGAATCCATGGATTGACACCAATGTGATCACTGCAGCACAGCTCTTCATGATGCCCAAAACCTAAGATGGAGGCAGCGGTATCCGGGGTATTTCGGCTTCATTTCTGGATATTGGGAGGAGGTGCAGGTGCATCACCCACCTTCATATTGAGTGTACATGTTAAGACCTGCTGCGGACTGATTTTGTGACTAATATTTGCAAATATCAACAAACTACCGATAAAGTGTTGTTGTGTAGCCTCACTGATATTGCTGAATCATTCTGCTGACGTCTTCGTAGCATTTGGAATCATCCTGTCATTACCTCTTGCAGTCAGAGTGGCCGCTGTTGAACTAAAATCAAAGGTTGAGCATGAATGTGTTAATATGTCCTTGATGCCCCATGATTCATGTGAGCTAGTTGTGAAAAAAGACATATTTAAAACACATCTGTCGTCTTTTTCAAGTGATTAAAAAGATATTATTAATTTTCAATCCATCATATATGTATGAATCCCCACTTTTTTGGTTTTACTTCATCCCTCATATGATAACATTTCAATTTTATTTTAATATGCATTCTCTACTTTTGTTTTTCTACAAAAATGTTTTAAAATATCATCCGAGAAGCACAAGGAACAAACATATCTCAAGGTAAAGTGACTTTAATTAGTTTTTTATTGTTGTGGTCCATCGTGCCACGCTACATGTGTGTAACAGAAGCACAAATAGACAAGAGAATTGGTTACACAGCAATGTCTTGCATCCATTTGCTAACATTAGCTCAAATTGACTAGCATCGGCCACATGTTGCAGCACAACGGCCTTCTGGTGGTTTGAACTCAGTACTTGCTTATTAATGCTGTTTGTATGAGGACTTGTGCTTTAGTCAAAATCGAGGACACACATATGACTTTGAGAAGTGTTTATTGAACGAACAGGAACTCACACACTGTTTTACTCTCCATATACAGGACATGTGCACACAGACCTTTATGGACTAGTCTGGATATTTGCAGGCAGATAACCTTGATTTGCTCCTTTAAATGAACTGTTTTGACAAGCAGGTTTGAGAGATAGCGCTGAGGCCTGGTTATCGAGCTGTGGTTTTTGTACTTGGACGGTTCTGACGGAGGTTTACTGAGACTACCTGTCTACTTCTTCTACTTTGTGCTCTTTGCTGCTGCCACTTTTTCTTCACCTTTCTCCTTTTTGACGTCAGCTTTGTCGTCTGTTTTGGGAGCAGCTGCTTTGTCTTCCATCTTGGCATCCGATTTCTCTTCCTTCTCTTCCTTCTCTTCACTCTTCTCTGCTTCTTCCTTCTCTTCTTTCACTTCTTCTTTTGCTTCCTGCTCTTTGTCATCGGCTCCATCTGATTTTTCCTCCTCTTGTGCTTCTTCTTTGACTTCAGTCTCCTCTTTGTCTTCTTTGTTGTTTGTCTCCTCTTCTTCAGCAGCGTCGGTCACCTCCTCCTCATCACCACCTGTATCAATACATTACATTATTAATTGTCATTGTGACCCATAATTGCAATTAACATATTATAAAAGAAAAAGATGCACTAACCTTCTTCTTCACCCTTAGCCTCTTCACCTCCTTCAGTAGCCTCCTCCTCATCTTCTTTCTCTTTATCTCCTTCCTCCTCTCCTCCTTCTTCCTCATCTTTCTCCTCTCCTCCTTCTTCTTCCTTCTCTGCCTCCTCTTCCTCCTTTACTTCCTCTTCTGTTGCCTCTTCTCCCTTTTCCTCCTCTTCCTCCTCCTCGCCGGGTGGGCTGGCCTCAGCTTGCTGGGCGTGGCTGGCGGAGATGATCCCCTCGGTGGTGCTGAAGCTGGAGCTGAGCAGGCGCGATGTCATCAGGTAGGAGGGTCCAGAGCTCAGGCTGGAGAGGAGGGGCCGGGCGTAGGAGGGCGCAGACAAAGAGTGGCCGTAGAAAGAGGACACACCCCCGGCAACTCCACCACTGAAGCGGGACTCCTCCCCTTCCAGCAGCTTCCTGTATAGTTCAATTAGATTATCGGATTATCGTAATTTATCCATAAAAGTAAGTCTAGAATTTGCTCATGCACTACTTACTTAAATGATTAATATTTTCACCTTAAACGATCTTGTGAATACCTTGAATCTTAAATTCAAGTTTCCTCATATAATTAAGGATTGATGCAGAACTTAAACATGCTAAACAAACAGTAATACGACCTCTTGGATGTCTTTGGCTTCTCACCTGTATGCAGCAATCTCGATGTCTAGCGCCATCTTGACATTCAGAAGGTCCTGGTACTCCTTCATGTAGCGTGCCATTTCCTGTTTGGTGCCCCTCAGCTCGCCTTCCAAATCTCCAATGGTGTCCTGAAATGAAGAAACAAAAGACACAAGAACATAAAACATGCAACATGATGAAATGAAAACCTTGAATGAAGAGTCTGAATGATTAATGTCACGGCATAGTGGCACTGCTGACCTGCATGGCAGTTATCTCAGCACTCTGCTTCTCCTCCATCTCATGCAGCTGTCTCTCCAGGGATCCGTTGAGGCCTCTGCATGCATCGATCTCCAGCAGCCGGGCCTGGAGCTGGCGTCGGTGTTCTCCTGCTTCATCCTTGGAGCTCCTCACAGCGTCACTGTGCTGGGCCACGGTTTCACTCAGGGAGCCTACCTTCCCTCTGAACCACTCC